TGGGCAGCAGTGTCCTGTACCCCACAGGAAGAGTCTTTCCTGTTTGTGCACTGAAATAAGAGCAAGCTTCCAGCTGGAGAGAGTGGTTTGGAGGGATTATCTCTCCTCTCCCAGGCAGGAGTCAGATTTTGGGTACTGGAAAGGCTTTACAGTTCTTGTGTGCACTGCAGCAAAATAAGAAGTGTCAGCTGACAGCAGCATGATGGTCTGGGCCTGGGTTCTGTGTGCAGGTCAGCTCTGTGTGTCCCAGACTGGCTGGAAGGAGGCTGCTCCAAAGGGACAGAATTCCTTGGGGTTGGGGCCATCCTGCCAGCAAGGCTGTTTATTGCATGCACTTCACCCTCTGCTGCCTCCCTCGAGGGAGAGCTCACTGACGTCGTTGCTTGATAAAGCTTCTTTTAAATCTTTCCTCAGGGATTTTATGGACCAAACGATGGATAATACCAAGCACATTTTAAATTACCTGATGCCCATCATAGACCAGGTGAACCCTGAGGTGCATGACTTCCTGCAGAGGTATGCAAATGTTCCCTTAGAGCCTCCTGGCTCTCCCCTGCCTGTCTCAGGTTACTGTTCACAGGGCCATTTTCACCCACACATCCCCAGTACCACAGTGGCTTCCTCAGGGAGTCAACTGCTGTCCCACAGCTGATGGTGACACCCCAAAGGCATGTGGCACTCATTTTATGAGCGGGCTCAAACCTGTGATGCCTGTCTGGAGAGGTTTTACGTGGTGCCATCTTCAGCCCATTTGGCTGCAGTCTCTATTGGTAGGGCTGGGGATTTGGGGACAGTGTTGTACAAATGCTACAACTGCTTCACGTGACCACTTGTGTGGCTGGTGGGACCTTGCTGTAGTTTGTTGTTAGTTCTGGGGATGATTACCAGGTTTTGCATTAGGGGTACACAGGTATGTCTGGGCAGATCAAATCGGAAGCAGGAAGGTGAATGGGAAGAGTCAGTTCAGAGCCCTTTTTTGGGCAGGTGTGTGGTTTTTTTCACAGCCAAAATGCCTTTGGGTACCAACCCTGACTGCAAACTCCCAGAATTAGTAAGCCTTCAGGGTAGGAAGAAACCCAAACATCAGTCTGTGCTGCAGGACTTCAGTTGCCCTCAGGCCAGCAAGCCAGACAGAGCCATGATACATGACACATTCAGGGTCTCCTGAAAGCAGAGCCTCTGCTGTGGCCCCCACTGGATGTGACCCAAGTAATAGAGCACTTTGCCACAGGGGGTGGCACAGGGGATAAACAGTTTTTTCTGTCAGAGGTGCAGTTCCTGCCCTGGTGGGGTTCAGTGCTCCACCCACAGCCAGCTCCATCTCCCCAGGCATGGCTGTGCAGCACAGGGCTGGCTTGGGAGCATTTCATCCCTGTTTCCAGGCTGACCTAATGGCTCTTTCTCTGTGTAGTGCGGAGGTGGGAACCATCTTTGCTCTCAGCTGGCTGATCACCTGGTTTGGCCACGTTTTGGCCGACTTCCGGCACGTTGTGCGATTATATGACTTCTTCCTGGCTTGCCACCCGCTGATGCCCATTTATTTTGCAGCTGTGGTAGGTATTGATGGAATGGTCAGGGTTGAACTGGGCTGTTCTGAGGTGTGAGGGTTTTGGGGCTGCAGAGGGAGGCTGACACACCCAGTGCTGGTGCTGTCCTCAGCTGTACCCTGCTCTGCAGATGAGGTCACTGATGTCCTTGGTGATGGTAAAGGGCAGGTGGGATCCAGGGGAACTCAGGGCAGCCTGAGGGTGTCCAAATGTGCAGGCTTTACCAGTTCAGTGCTGTGGAGGCAGCATGACACAGTGGTTTTGTTTCCTCTCATGTGCTGGTCCTGCTTCTGGTCACATACTGGGATGCCTGGCTGGCTGGGGACAGCCCTGCACTGTGCATCCATGCTGCCCATCCTCCTGTAGCAGAGGGCAAGTCATGAAGTCAAACCCTGCTGAGGTTCTGCCCCCATCTCCGACCTGCCAATAGCAGGCTCTGCTCAGCTGACAGACCTCAGTACCCTGAAAGAGAATTCCCATGGCCTCAGTGTCTCAGAGGGGTTTGGCATTTCTCTTCCCAGTGAATGCTTCACTGCAGTGTGTCCTCTTGAAGAAGGTCTTTCAGCTGGAAGTAAAGTGATTTTTTCTTCTGGCTCTGAAACAAGTGCCAGCATCTGCCAAGGAGTTGTCCCCACTTCCTTGTCTGTCCTTCTGTCACTCCTCTGCAGATCGTGCTGCACCGGGAGCAGGAAGTTCTGGACTGTGAGTGTGACATGGCCTCTGTCCACCACCTCCTATCCCAGATCCCACAGGACCTTCCTTATGAGTCTCTGATCAGCAAGGCCGGGGACCTTTTTGTCCAGTTCCCCCCTTCCGAGCTTGCCAAGGAGGCGGCTCAGGCAGCTCAGGCGGAGCGGTGAGTGCCGGCAGCCCGTCTGTTCCCTCATCCCCTTGGCAGGTCTTGCCTCCCTGGGGAGATCTTCCCTGGTCCCAGGGCTGAGCAGGGGACACTCCTTGACCTGTTCCTTCTCTTGTAGAACTGCAGCTTCCACTTTTAAGGACTTTGAGTTGGCATCAGTGCAGCAGAGACCAGACACTGTGTTGAGGCAACGCTTCAGAGAGCGGCTCCGAGGGGAGGAGCGGCTCCGAGGGGACGAGAGGACAAAATCCATCTTGACAAAGCCCCGGACCAACCGCTTTGTCAAGCTGGCAGTGATGGGGCTGACGGTGGCACTGGGAGCAGCTGCCCTGGCCATGGTGAAGAGCGCGCTGGAGTGGGCACCCAAGTTTCAGCTGCAGATTTTCCCCTGAAGCCGGAGGAAGGGTCTTTGCTGTCACTGCATCCATCCCCAGCAGGAAAGGCTGATGTGTGATGAAGGACATGTCCAGAAACGACCTGTCTGAAGATTATTTATTATTCTTACTGCGTTCAGTAACACTTTTGGCCTTTGTGACAGAGACTGAGGGAACCAGCCCAGCAGGACGGTTCCCCACACCATGCTCACCTTGTTCCGCTCTCCCTGTGCCAGGGTGGGCAGACAGGCACTCCTGCTGTCTCCTGAGGAACCAGAGGTATGGACAAATTTGGCTGTTCAGGCTGTGCTCAGGTGACTGTACAGAGGGAGAGCTGTGTGTGGGCTGTGCCCAAATGATCCTGTGTTCTCCATTGGGGAAAACTAGTGGGAGTGAGAGCAGATCTTTGCCTGGAGGAGGGTGTCCAACAGGGTTTGTTTTGAGTGCTTGCGTTTGTGAGGGTGGAGGGCATTGCACTCCTGAGGAACAGGGCAACTCTTTGGCTCTTCATTGCTCCAGTGTGCCCCACGATCTGCCTTCAGCTTTGCCGGTGCTCCAGCTCTTCCCTGTCCCGTGGACACCCTCTGAGCAGAGCCAAACCTTTCCCACACCCCAGCCAGCACAATGCTGTGAGCTTCTCTTCAGTGTGTAACACTCCCTGGCTCTTTTTGCTTCCTCATCTTTGCAGCCTGATCTGTTTGTAGGGGCCAGGAGCAGAGCTTAGCTCCCCTCAGCTCTCAGGCACTGCCACTGCTGTGCTGGCAGTGCCGTGACCATACCTGGGGTCAGTGAGGTGAGCACGAGTGCAGTCACCCTGCCAAAGGTGTGTACTGTCATGTGCCAGGTTATGCTACCACAAGTCTTAGTGGCACTGTAAACACCCATTGCAGACTTCTTTAATAGCTCTGGAAGTGCACCTATGCATGCCCACATGGAGAAAGGCTTTTTCTACCTTGTGAAACACTTTGCACAGGATAGAAGTTGTTGCACTAGGAAATGTGACAAAAGCCTCCCCCACGAGCTGATCAGGCTTCAGCATCACCTCTGGAAATACCACAAGGGGTTTCCCAGAAAGGCCACCCTGACCTCTGCATAGCTCCCATCTCCCCACCAGTTCCATTGGCAGTCCCAGCACTCCCTGCCCTCCAAGCTAAGCAGCAAATCCTTCTAGACAACTCAGTGTCCCACTGAGACAGAGCCAATAGACACTCTTTGCCTCTACCTCTCCCCCAAGCTGCTAAATCTCCCTCAAGTGTCCTTACCTGTCCCTCACAGCTCCCTCCCGCTGCCCCATCATTGCTCTGTTGTGCCCAAAGCCATCTGTGCCATGCCCAGGGGCTGCACACCTGAAAAGGAGGTGTTGGTTAAAGGGATTTTGGGATAGAGAAGAAAACTCATGCCCTGGAGAGCTCAGCACCCCCAACTCCCACCCTTCTTGGTCCATAACTGCCCTGGGTGTGTTCTGGTTTGCCCCATGGGCCGTTGTTCATGGAAGGGATGTGCCTTTCTGGCCAGAGGGCAGGTGGGCAGTTCTCATTCCTGATTTGTGTTCCCATGAAACTCTTAAGTAGAGCCTCTGCAAGTGAAATGTGGAGTGAGTGAAACTGCCCTTGTCCAGGCAGGCAGCAAGACCTGTTCCCTCCTCTCCTCAGTGGTGCCAGTGGCCTTGGAGAGACCTGGGGCTGCTCAGGGGGCTCCTCCCAGTGTGGCTGAAGGCAGAGCCCATTCCTGGCCCCTTGGCACCCCCAGAGCAGCAGAGCAGGACTGGAGGCTGGGTCACTTGGCACTTTAGAAACCATTGGTGCAGGAGAGTGTGGTGACCTGGGACTGCTGCTGGAGGGCCCAGGACTGCTCTGTACATTACACTAAAGGAGGGGATGGCTGGAGCCCCCTAGGAGGAGCCCCTGCAGCCCCTCCATTCCCTAGCCATGATGCACTTTAGTTCTTGTGTTGTCCCCAGTGGGGGGAGGAGGGCCTGGGAGGAGACCAGGGTGCTTCAGTTACTCTGTACAAAGACTTATACACCCCTTGTAAATGCAGATTTCTACAAGCCCTAAAACTGTAAAATAAACAGTTACTAAACACACTTCCTGCCCTCCGCAGACCAGGGCTGCCCGATCTGCTCTTGTGGCACCCTGGGGCCCAGCACTGGCACCTTCCCTGCGGTGGCCAGGCCAGCTCAGTGTGGCCTCACACCCAGCAGCCCCGTGGGAAGAGGAGCAGGAGCAGAGCCAAAGGGCGTGTGCGTGCCCCGGTCACTGCTCTCCATCATCTGTCTCCCTCTGGGCCAGCGCCAGGCCTTGTGTGTGCTGCTGGCTCTGGGGTGTCCCCCCCATCAGCAGCGTGGGGCTGGAAATAGCCTGACCTCCCAGCTGCCCTGCACCCCAGGCCGGGTGCCCGGCTGCAGGAGGAGATCCTGGGCACGGTGCCCAATCCCAGGGCATGGTGCCCACTCCCAGGGCACGCTCCACTGAGCTGGGGTGATGTGGCCGCCTTGGCCAGGCTGGAAGCGGTTTTGTCTGGATGGCTCAAGGCTGGCAGCCCTCTTGGCTGTTTTTAATTGCCTGTGGCTTCTCCAGGAGCCATTTTCTAAACCGGCTTGAATCCCTTTGGGAGGAGCACCCTTTGAGCAGCAGGGGGGAAGGAAGAGTGGTGGCAGGAGATATGTGGCACCTTTAGGGAAGCCAAGAGGCCGCTGCTGCGTGTGACTCAGAACCAGGCCAGTGGCAATGTGTGCATGTGCCTGTGTGGGCCATGTTGGACAGTAGACGAGAGCCCATGTGGCCCTGACCTTACCAAAGTGATGGGGACAGTGGTGATGGCCACAGCTCTGGCTGTGGCTGCCCCGTGGTCCCCTCTGCTCCCAGCAGTGCCCCTGCACAGAGACGAATCCCATTGCCGGGGGCTGCAGTGACACCACACTGGAACACTGCTGCCCCTGTGGTACCGCCCCGGCCCCGGGCGGTGCTGGGGCTGTCCCGGGGGTGCAGCCTGCAGACTTGGGGGGTCACCGTGGCACGGGCAACCCCTGCACTTCTCCCTCCCTGGGGGACAGCCCGCTCCCCAGCAGCGGCAGGGCAGCAGGAGGGGCTGGCGGTACCCGGGGATGCTCTGGGCTCCTCTTGTTGCCGTGGCAACAGCTGCGGTGAGACTGGGGGCGGGGGTCTGCGTGTGATGCAAGTGGCGCGTGACCCCGTGCCCCCCCCCCCCCCCGTGGGTCTGGATTAGCACCCCCGGTTCCCTCCCTCTCCACTTCCCCCCCGATCACCCTCGGTCCCCTCCCCCGGCTGAACGGAGTCGGGGGCGGCGCCGGGATTGCCCACACACACACACACGGGTGGGGCGAGGGGCTGCATACGCACAGCACATACGTGCACACACATGCACATGCTCACACTGCTCCCGGGGACGCCCAGCCCACACTGACTGATGAGGGTGAACCCCCCCGCTGCAGGAGAGCCCATAGGAACCGGGGCTCAGGGTGGGAACTGATATACCTGGGAGCCCGATGCTGGCCATTGGGAATCCCTCATCTCCCTGGAGACCTCCCACAGCCCTGGGTACCCCAAATTCCCCTGGGAGGAGTGAGGCAGCACAGAAGGAGCCAGAGCCACGAGGAGCAGACCAACACACTTTATTCCATAATCACAACAGTCAGGATCATTGTTAGCCGAGGTTCTGCATGGCAAGGGCCAGCCATGTCACACCCCCAAGATGGACCCAGATGGGGCCGTCGCTGCCCCTCGGCTAAAATCCTGTTTCTCCAAGATAACAGACACAGGGACCCTTCACTAACACAACACTACAAAGGTGACCCCGAGCGCTGGCGCCCGTCCGCAGGCTGCGTCGGGGCCCCGCCAGCTCCGGGGACCCCCGGCCCACTCTGCCGCCGCCAGGGCAGCTGCTTCCTGAGAGAGGTTTGGTTTATTTTTATTATTTATTATTACTTTTATTATTATTATTATTATTCGCTTTGTCTGGAGTGATGACGGGATGTCGCACGCGCACGCACACACGCTCGCACACGCATGCCAGCCAGCACCGGGCAGCGGGGGCGCAGCGGGAGGGGGCCGCACGCTGGGGGGGTCTCTAAGCACTACAACCACACGGCACAGAAAATCCACCACTGTCCACGACGGTTCTCCCTGACAAACACACCCGGCGAGACTCGAGGAGGGGGACAGGGGTGAGGACGGGGACAAAGCGGATGATGTTGTGCTTGCGGCCAGGGCAGGAGACCCCGGCACTGGCTCCGGTTCTGGCACTGACCCAGAACCTGCTCCTGAGGAAATATTTCGCCTGACAGTCCGTGGAGGGATCACCCTGGCTCAAGGGTGATGCACAGCACGTAGGGGACCACTGGGACCCGTGTCCCCCCTAGGAACGGAAGCTGAGCCCTGAGCTGCAGGGTCAGCAAAGCACACGTGAGATGTGAGACCCTCAGTGTGGCCTCAGGCCTTGCTGGTACCGGGGGCTTTGGCTTCCCCATGGACAGGGATGGAGGGCAGGTGACTGTCAGCCTCAGCGCCCTCCCTGAGAAGCCCTGGCCACAGCATGGGGTGGCTGTGCACCCCAAGAAGGCACCGAGGTGCTGGGTGAGATCCGTGTGTGTGTTAGAGAGCTCTGAGGCCGCCGGACCCCCCGGGAACCCCGAGCCCGGCTCACACGTGGGAGACGGCTTCAGGTGCTCCTGGAGCGGGGCTGCCCAGGGGCTGGGAAGGCAAAGTCCCCCCGAGGCGGCGGTGAGGCGGGAGCAGGCTGCCAGGATCACGGCTGGCCCGGCGCTTTTTGGCTTTTCCACCTTTGGGGGCGGGACTGGATGCGGTGGGGGACGGCCGGGGAGGGAGGGGACGCAGAGAAGAGGACGCGCTCTACCCAGGGAACACGTGTCTGATGCGTGATGCCCGCCTGGCTCCGCAGGCTGGCACCCGCACGGGGCTACCGAAACACCGTGGCTAATGCCAACACACACGCACAGCTACCGCTACACACCGACACATCTACACTGCTGATGGTTGACCATCGCGGGGGGCCTCGAGGGGTCCCCAGGGACTGGGCTGGGGGACATCGAGCATCCCTGCAAAGGGCCACACCTCTCCCTGCGCTGCAGTGCCTATCCCCACGGCTGAGCCAGGGCCACCAGCAGCTCCAGCAGCAGGGCCAGGCACCTACTCCGAGGCACCCTCAGGGGATGCCAGGACGTGGGAGGGGGGATGTCCTTCCCCCGGTCACGGCTCAGTCCAGCCTGCAGCAAGGGGCAGGCACGGGGTAGCCTGTGACTGGGGGGACCGGCAGCCCCAAAACAGGGAGGCAGAGCACCAAGCAGCGGGTGCTCTGCTGCTGCCAGCACCCCCTGGCACGGGAGGATCCGAGGGGCCCCCACAAATCCAGAGTCCCTGGGGAATCGGGGTCACGGGGGACTGCAGGGGCCGCTTCAAGCAGCGGTTGCTGCCGAGCCCAGTAGAGCTCCTGCAGACGCTGCCAGCCCAAGCCATGACCACTTCCCGGGGGATGTGTGGGGTCCCCACCCAGCACAGCTGTACCAGAGCGCAGCCCCTGCCCCCCCAAGCACAGCCTGCGGCAGCTGCCGAGCCAGCACTGCAGCCACGTGCTCCCGGCAGTGGGAGGAGGCGGCTGTCGCAGGAAGGAGCCATTAGGAAAAGCAAAGAAAATCCCAGCTGGAGGAGCCGCTGCAGCAGCATCTTCCCTGCCAGCATCTCCCTGCTCTCGGCGTGGCCGGCAGCGGAGCCCAGCGTGGTGCTGTGTGGAGGAGCCCCGTGCCAGAGCATCACCCACAGCCCACACGCCCACCAGCACTGGCTGCAGCTGCTCTTGGACCAGTTCGGGTGGTTGCCTAAGGCAGATTTCCCACAGCTGCCCTTTGCTGCCACCCTGCCCTTCCATGCTGCTCCCTGCCATCCCGGCAGCACCACACGCCACGGCTGGGCACAGCGACACCCGGCTCCACCGGCCAAGGTCAGCCAGCCCTCAGCAGGTCCCACAAGGGCACGGGCTCCAAGGTTAAAATGAGGGCTGGCTGCTTAGTGAAGGGCTGGTCCCCGCACAGTTTTGGGGTGACTCTGGACAGGGGCTCCCTCCGTGGCACAGCTTTCCCTGCACAACTGCCTGGCGAGAGAAACAACACAGCCTCCCGCGCCCACGTGCTCGTCACGTGCGTGCAACTTCACTCTTCCCAAAGCGAGTGGCGGGGAGCACCCGCCACCGGGAAGGAGACACTGCCGTGGGACACTGAACCCCCAAAGCAGGGACCCCTCACAAAGCAGGGAGCTGGGAAGGGACAGCTTGGCATGGCTTGGCATCCCTCCCCAAGGGCTGCAAAGAGGAAGAGGAGAGAATTGAAGCCATGCGTTCAATGCAGTCAAAAACCAAACGGAATCAGCCATTCTCCAAGGGATGGGGAAGGTGGGGTGGGCACCGAGAGCTGGGGTGGCGTGGATGCTCCTGCTTCCTGGAGAGCGGGAGGGCACACGGCGCTGGCACAGATGGGAGCGGCCGGGAGCAGCCATGGCTGTCAGCGCCGGGGCCGTGGGGGAAAGCAGCCGGGTGTGACAATGAAACCCCGATGAGATGCATTTCACGGGCAAACAACCGCGGCGGGCGGCCATGCGTCCTGCGGGCACGAGGCGAGAGCCGGACAGACAGACGGATGGAGAATGGGTGTGTGCCAGGGGGTGGGGGGAGCAGGGGCTCTGCCTTCCAGCAGCTTCAAGGCAAAATACCTGATTCCTGCATGTAAACAGCTGGTTTCGGTTTGTTTGTTTGTTTTTTCCTGGGTTGTTTTTTGATATGACCTGATTGTGGGTGAAAATAAAAATGAGTGTTACCTGCAGAGCGTGGGACTCAGTAGGTAAAGACCAAGTCTGAGATGCTGGACATGAGCCAGTCCCCTGCTATCATCTCCGTCACCTCGGGCGTGCAATAGTCCGGGAACTCGAAGTGCGAGGAGCCTCCCCGCGGGTAGAGGTCGTGGTCCTTGTCGAAGACGGACCAGTCCAGGGCACTACAGGTGGCACTGGCAGGCGCCCGCCCGGGCATGACCCCCAGCAGCTCCTCCTCCAGCTCTTCGTCAGAGGAGCTGAAGGAAGAGGGAGGGGACCCAGCCGACATGGGAGAGGGGGACCCGCTCTCTGGGGACCTCCCTGGCTCCGGGCAGGGTGTGGTAGGGCTCAGGGGTGCAGGGGGCTCCTGGGGGCTGTGCTCCCCGTCGGGTGCCGGCTGCCAGGCAGCCGTGCCAGGCACCACAGGGCTGTCCTCAGCGGGCACCTCTGCTGCGGGCTCCTGCGGGGTGTCGGGGCCGGTGGGCAGCTTGGCGGGCTGCCTGCGGCTGGCAGAGACACGGCCCAGCACGGAGGGCTTGATCTTCACTGGGAGCCGCGGGCGGGCTGCTCCGGTGCCCACCTTGCCCTTTTTCCGAGGCCGGTACTTGTAGTCGGGGTAGTCAGCCATGTGCTTGAGGCGCAGGCGCTCGGCCTCCCTGACAAAGGGGATCTTCTCGGAGTCGTGCAGGAGCTGCCAGCGCCGGCCCAGCCGCTTGGAGATCTCGGCGTTGTGCATGTCGGGCCACTGGTCCATGATCTTGCGGCGCTCGTGCTGGGACCACACCATGAAGGCGTTCATGGGCCGCTTGATGTGCCCGCTCGGCGTCTTGCACCACGCGGGCTCGGTGTCACGGGCGGGCAGCGGGGCGCAGGGCTCCCGCCGAGCCTCCGCGCCCCGGCCCCGCGGGCCGCGCTGCACCATCCCGGAGCCGGGTATCCCGCCGCCGCCTCCGCCTCTTCCTCCTCCCCTCCCGCCGTCGCTTCCCTGCCCGCCGCCGCCTCCCCGCCCGCCGCTACGGCCGCGACGGGGCCCGGGGGCGCACGGCGGGGCCGGCTCCGCCGGGGCGGCGGCCGCGGAGATGCTCCGGAAGGGGCCCGGGATGGCCCGGTGCTCTCCGGCTCGGAGATGCTCTGCAGCGGTCCTGTCCCGGAATGTTCTGCACCGGTCCGAGGATGCACCGGAATGCTCTGTAGCACCTCGAGGACGCTCGGTACCGGTCTGGGGATGCTCTGTAGCACCTCGAGGATGCTCGGTACCGGTCTGAGGATGCTCCGGGATGCTCTGTACCGTCTCGGGGATGCTCCACACCAACACGGGGATGTTCGGCGCCGGCTCGAGGATGTTCCGGGGTGCTCTGTAGCGGCTCGGGGATGCTGCACGCCGTGAGGGCTCCGCCCCGGGGTTGCTCCGCTCCCCGCCGCCCCGGTGATGCCTCCCCGCTTAAGCCGGCAGATGCTTCGGTCGGGAGTAGTGCAGGGTGGTTGCGGCGGGTCCAGCTGCGGGTCGGGGGTGCGCGGGGGCGGTGCGGGCAGCCCGGGAGCCGCACGCCCCCCGGTGCCGCTCTTATAGACACGGGCGGCCCGCCCCCGCCGCCCCCGGTAAACACCGCCGCGCCGGCCCTGTCAATGGAGGGCCCCGCCCCCCGCCGCCCATTGGCCGCGGGCCGGGGGGCAGATCCCGCCCAGCCAATGGGCGCCCGCCGAGAGGGGTTGCTGGAGAGAATGGCAGGGCGGCACGCCCCGGTACCCCCGGTACCGCCCGGTACCGCCCGGCACGCCCCGGTACCGCCCGGTACCGCCCGGCACGCCCCGGTACCCCCGGTACCGCCCGGTCCCCCCCCCCGGGGGGCCCCCGCCGAGAGGGGTTGCTGGAGAGAATGGCAGGGCGGCACGCCCCGGTACCCCCGGTACCGCCCGGTACCGCCCGGCACGCCCCGGTACCCCCGGTACCGCCCGGTACCGCCCGGCACGCCCCGGTACCCCCGGTACCGCCCGGCCACCCGGCACGCCCCGGTACCGCCGGGCACGCCCCGGTATCCCGGCACTCCCCCGCGAGACACGGCACCCCTGCTACCCCCTGCTAACCGGCACACCGATCCCCCGATACCGCCCCCACGGCAGCCCCCCGTACCCCGAGCCGAGCGGCACGGAACCCCCGGTGACACCCGGTTCCTTCAGACAAGCACCCCGGCACGCCGGTAGCCCTGTGTGCCCTCAGGCACCCACCCGAGGATGCTCCGGCTCCCGCCAGTAACCCGCTGCTCCCCCGGTCTGGGCACACCGGTGTCTCCGGTGACCCTGACCCCGCACCCTCGGGAGCACCCACACCCCTCGCGGTTCGCCGGGAGTCCGGGCACGGGTGTGGCCGACCGGAACACCGAGTATCACCCCGGAATGCTGCGCTTGAACCCTGCCCTGCCGGCCCACCGGGTTCCCGGGACACCCACTGCTCCCGGTCGTCCGGGCAGCACCCCGGCCCGGAACAGTCCCCGGGCCGCTCACTGCGGCTTGCACCGCTCGGTTCCACGCGTTGTGGCAACACCGACGCCTTGGTGAACACGTCCCCGCCACCCCTTGCAGCGGTGTCTCCCGCGGGTCGGCCCCGGCGGTGACGGGAGCGCCGGGCGGGGAACGCGCGGCGCACGAGGCGGACACGCGGCTCCCCGGTGCCGCGGGCGGGGCCACGCCCCTCCCGGTCAGGCCCCGCCCCCTCCGCTGGGCGGCACCACTGGGCCACCGGACCCGGGCGGGCCCGCCGGGGGCCGCGCCCATTGGCTGCGCCGCCGCCGCCAGTTGCTGTGGTGACAGGGGAGCGCGCGGGGCCGCGCCCGACCCGCCCGGGCACCGCCAGGGACCGGGCACCGCCAGTGACCGGACACCGCCAGGGACCGGGCACCGCCAGGGACCGGGCAATGCCAGGGACCGGACACCGCCAGGGACCGGGCACCGCCAGGGACCGGGCACCGCCAGGGACCGGGCACCGCCACCGGCCCGGCACCTCCAGGGACCGGGCACCGCCAGGGACCGGGCACTGCCAGGGACCGGGCACTGCCAGTGACCCGGCATCTCGGGCTGTCCCCGTCCTGCGGTCTGAGCGGGAGCTGTGGCCTGGCCTGTCCCGACCCTGCAGGCTGCCCCGACCCTGCAGCCAGCCGGGACACCGGGGCCTGCCCTCCCGCCGTGCCGGAGCCGCGCTGCGCGGGGAGCACCGCACAGTTCTCACCGCGGCTTTGCTGCGGACGGCCGTGCCCGCTCGGTATAACCGGAGGTCCTGCCCGGCACGGGGCACCCGCCCGGCGCTGGCCCGGGCACTGCTCGGCCGCTCCCACACACCTCCGGCCCTCCTGCCACCGCGCCGGCAGGACCGGCTCGGTGCGCATCAGCACGGGACGCCCGAGCAGCTCTGCGGGGCCGGAGGCGGCTGTCCGTCCCCCGTCCCCGTTGGTGCCGTGCACCGGGCCCGCCTCTACCCGGGCTCCCGTTCCTCTGCTCCCTCCCGACCCCGGCCGCCCGAGGCCGGTCCCTCCGCGCTGCCCGGGCTGCCGCAGCTGCTTCCAGTCCCGGACACGCCGACCCCGCCCGGTGCGCCCCGTGCCGGTGATGCTGTCCCGGTGCGGTGCCGGGGCGGAGCCGGCAGGGGGCGTCCCTTCCGCCCGTTCCCGTGATCCCGGCCCCGCCCGGCCCCGCCGCGGGCACCGGCTCCGGTAACGGGCATGCGGGGCATCCCCAGAGGCCTCAGCGGAGCGGGGTTCCCGCAGGGCAGAGGGTGGTGAGGATCAGTGGGATGTAGGGGTGTCCCAGGAGGCACAGCAGCTGCTGAATGGACAAAAGAGCGAGCCGGGAGGGGCTCCCCGTGGACCAGCAGCGGTATCACCCCTGCCACAGCCTAAAAAATCCCTTCCTCCGTGCTGTCCCTGGCTCCAGCTGGCTGCTGGAGCACCCTCTGCTTCGCAGAGCCATTCCTGTGTGGAGTGGCACCAGGCACGGTGACAGATTCCTCCGTGCTGCCAGTGCAAGCAGCAGTGCCTGAGGGTGAGGTCAGGCTTGGTGCAAGGGACGTTTCCCAGCTCTGAGGAATCAGCAGTGACTATTTCTCCCTGTGCAGAGGATGAAGGCAGTGGTGCAGACCTGCTGTCAGAACCGGCTGGACACAGTGAGGGCAGAAGTCCAGGAAATAGAAAAAACAATGGAAAATAATCTGGGAAGCTGGTTGCTCACATCACTGTGAAATGAGTCTATACAGTCATGTTACCTTTGCTTTCCATCCTTGGCTAAAGACACTGTGTTGATCTTATAAATGTCAAACAATTCCATTTCTGAGAACGAATCCCATTTGCTCTGTGGGGATGATCTTCCCACCAGCCTGCCAGGAGGCAGAGAGCCCTGTGACACACGGCAACCTGTGCTCGGGGGGGTCTGCTCATGGGATCATTCCTTCCTGGTGTACCCCAGCTCCTGCTCCCCGCTGCACACAGGGCTTATTTTTCATTAAAATCTCACCCTGTTGGGCAGACACTCACCCAGCAGAGCAGCAGTGGTGTGGGTGTCAGGGGGGCTGGATCTCCTGCACCAGGGCCTGGGTTTTAGCTGGAAGACAGGTATGGCTGTAGCTATGGAGGCTGAAGCTGAAGGAGGAGAAAAGCCTGGAACATGTCAGGAGGGAGGAGGAGAGTGGCTGCGTGATAGATTAGTGGAACTTCATTTTTTTCTGTTTAAAAAAAATGATAAAAAGGGGAATTAATTAGCCTGAGCAGCTGGTGGGGCTGGGGTTACTGAGGGTGGATGGGAGAAAAGTTAAAAATAGCAGGAAGGCCCAAGTGGAAAGTTTCTGTAACATCACAAGTCAGGCATTTGGTGCTTACCCGCCCTGACAGGCGGGAGCCTGTGCCAGAGCCCTCTCCACCATCCTCAGCCCTTTCCCACTGACCTCCCTGCAACTTTTCACACGACATCACCAGCCCTGTGTTTTGCTGATTAACCCTTTGCTTCCAGACACTGGGCTTGCATCTTGAAAGAGCAAATTCAGCCACAAGTTGCTCACCCTGGGAATGTGAGGGTGCAGAGGAGCACAGTGCTCGTGCTGGCCCTCCCTGGGACCCTGTGTGTCCCTGGCAGCGTGTGCAGCCCAGAAGAGCTGTAACCCCTTGAGTCCATTCCCATCTGCATTTCAGCTTCCCCTCCTTAAAAATCCTCCTGTTTCCAGAGGCCCGGGGTGGATTTTGCCAGTAGGTCTGAGCCCTATGCTGGGACACTCTGGATGCACAGTTTGTCCTCAGCTGAGACGGAGATGGATGAGGCAGCTCTGAGCAAGCCCAGCTTGCTGCACTTGTCCCCGCTGCGAGAAAGCAGATGTACCTGGCTGCTCCAACAGGCTTTCTCTGCTTCTGTTTGTCTTTCAGAACTGACAATAAGAGCAGCTGAATTCATTCCTTCTCCCTCACAGAGGCCCAGGAGCTGTGTCTGGCTCTGCTGCTCTGGGAAGGCTGGCAAGAGCTGAGCCTGCCATACAGAGGGTGGTCTGAGGGTGCTGGAGCAGGGCTTGGGCTGGAACCGATTTTGGTGGCTGGCAGAGTGGCCAGGGACTGTGGCAGACGATGAGGTGTGAGAAAATACTGTGGGATTGACTGGGGGTCAGGTCTGGCTCTGGTTTACACTAAACAGGAGATGGGCACTACCCTCACCTAGTTTAAAAGGGTTTCCCTCTTCCCCTAGGTGCTTGCATGGTCCTGGGTCCCAGAACAAGCATCTGGGCTGAGCCCACTGAAAGCCAGTGCAGGACTCTGGGGACATAGAGAGGGTGGCACAGCTGACACAAGGCAGGCTTCCCTCCAGCCACATTGTGTCCCCTGATGACAGGACTGCCGTGCAGGGAACGGGAACCTCTGAGCACAGTCCATCACCCTGCTCCTGCTCCTGCTTCTGCTCCTCCTCACACCCAAACAGCCAAAGCAGTGGCTTATTCCCCTCTGTGCTTTGCCCCTCCTAACTCTCCTCTCCCTCAGCTTCGTGCTGGGTACC